TCTCCTCATCACAACCTACTTGCGGTGCGTACGCGCTAACGACGTTTAAAGTACACTCACCCATCACCATTTAATAGTCATTAGTCTATCATTCACACGCCTGACCTCTACCACCGACTCCCTAAGATGGCTATCTACTAGGATACCNTTAATCTCCTCATCACAACCTACTTGCGGTGCGTATGCGCTAACGACGTTTAAAGTACACTCACCCATCACCATTTAATAGTCATTAGTCTATCATTCACACGCCTGACCTCTACCACCGACTCCCTAAGATGGCTATCTACTAGGATACCCACTCCATTCTTACCCCTCACGATTCCGGAGTACCACAACTTATACCCATCCGCGTTTCTCGCCCTCGATCCGACCCACCTAGTCTCCTGGACACACGCTATATTAATCTTCCTCTTCTGAAATATCTTAAAAGGCGTCGACAAAGTTGAGCAAAAATAGGAAAATGGAGACGCGAGGTATGGAACTCAGTACCTCGCGCTATTACAAGTACTATACATAGAATAGCAGTAGCGCAGACGCAAGATACATAGAATAGCAGTAGCGCAGAAGCAAGAGAGTAATTTTCCCGCCATGGTCGTAGCAATGGAAGTGGACTCAGAGAGCAACCTTCTCCAGCGAAAACAGTCCCTTTACCATTCTTTGGTAGCTTCTTATCAACAATCTCTTGTTCCTACGCTCTTCTTTGCCCTTCAATTCAAAGCTACTGTAGTCAATTTGCAAAAATTCTTCCTTTTTATTTTATTTTTATACCTTAATTTCTAGGTTTTCATTGCTTTAACAGGATGAGAGTTTTGAGATGGGGAAGGAGGTATACAGGGGACAGCAGTACAGTCAAATATATTATGCTAGGCTCCATTTGATGCGTACTCTCCTTTACTCTCTCCTTCCCAATTGGAAACCCCAGTTGCCTGGTAACTGAACTTACCCCTTTCTTGCCTTCTTCTAGCAAAGTAAATATTATCCTCTCTATCTCAATTTAAGTGACATTGTTTCCTTTTTAGTCTGTCACAACAAGAATTACAAACTTCTGTACGTTATTATTGAAATTTCTACAATTTTTCTTGAATAGAGGAATGGGAGAGTGGAAGTTGACCACTACTCAAAGAATTACAGTACTGAACTATTCATTTCACCTTCTTTTAATTCGTTACATTGGGAATTAAGGTAGAAAAGTGAGTTATAGAATTGTTCATCCTTTTATTCCCCCCCCCNTAAGATGAGGAATTATACGATTCAACGTACAAATGCAAAGGTGATCATTACTAAAGGTTTCAAATTCCAAATGCACTCTATGAGTTTTGAAAGTTTTATCTCTGATTCTCTTTTGATAAGTAAATTCGTCCTATTTTCTGGTGCCATCACTGACACTTATCTGCACTGTTTATTTTCACTGGTTTAGCTGTAGCTTATGGTGGTCGTATATTGATTTTATCTTTAAAAGGTGGCTAAGTTAATTCCTTACAACACAAGGTGAGCACAAGAAAGAGAAATTTGGAATTTGCACTTGTTACTTTAACATCATTTAGAGCTTAACTATTGGTGGTTAGAAGGTTTACAATATCAATTGTTACATTTTCCTTGTGTTTTGTTTCCTTAACTACTATCTTGCATCTTGATTGCAGTCTGTACTGTTCTTGGATTAGAGGAAGGCAAAGAATGCATTATAGTTGGGACACTCTACAAGCACATGAAGCTAAAACCTTCTGTTCTTGATGAGTACTCTAAAGAGGTATAAAACGTTGATGACACAACATGTTGATTTTCCTGTCTAAAAGTTTATTTGATGACCTTTCTTGTATATGCCTTGTACTTGTATATATATCTCCCTTCTTTAAGTCACTAATAATTGAACTTGGGTGTACAGAGATCTGCTGCACCGCTTGTACAACGTCATAACTTTACGCACCCAGATGATAATTTAGTTCTGGAAGATGAGAGCGGAAGAGTCAAACTAAGTGGCTCTGTTCTTTTGCCATCTACATATGTAACAGGTGAGTAGCTTTAGTCAGTCCTGTCATGTAGCTGAACTGTTTTTAACTGATTTTGGTTGTATGATTGAGGGCTTTTGGCTGGTTTTCTGAATTACATTTTTGTTTGACGATGTAGTCATTAACTGACACTGCATTTTTTATTAGAGAAAGTTTTTCTCCCTTTTGCAAGGGTAAGTTAGCTGACTCATAAATGACATGATTGCTTTATTATGTGTGGTGTTCTATACTTCTATAGGTATGATTGCTGCATTGCATGGAAAAGAAACTAGTGCTGGTGATTTTTTGGTTGAAGATGTTCTAGAGGCTGGTCTACCACAGCAAATAGAGCGACCAATTGTCTTAGGTATCAAGTACCTAACTTCCCTGTTTTTAGTTGTCAATAACATTATCTGGTGATTTGTGCTTGTGTTCATTGAGTACTGCATCCATACAGACAACATTTTTTATTTTAGATCTCTGATTGGCACACCTGGGGTTATTATATGATTAGAAGTTCCTGCACAAAAAAGTCGCTAAAACTTTCTTTGTTTCCGTACTCTTTTTCCTAAGATTGTTTGATGAAACCTATGTTCTATTCTATGTGGACAATGAAAATTTCAGTGGTGGAATTGAGTGATCCTGGTCAACACGCAATTAAGCTTAGCATAACTGATTTTAGCATTCTGGTCATTTTTTTCCAGCAAAGTTTATTTTCTTTCATGTCTCTAATATCTTGTTGGAGTTTCACTTCCTACAAGGTCCCCTTATTACTCAATCACCTTTCTCTATTGTGTTAGCTACTTCATCCTGTCGCTGGCTCAATTGAGAATCCTGATAACAAAACTGTCTTAGACAGCATCAATATTTTCTCTTATCTATGTGCGGCCCTATTTCTGATTTTCATCAGCCTGTCAGTGTGAACTTTGAAGCTCAGTAGAATAGCATAATCATTTAAATGTGAAAATCTTTTTATAACTAAAAGTTGTTAGACTCTAGGAAAGTGTCAAATTCTATAATGTTCGCTTCAATTAGCGGAAAGACTACTTTGTTGCAGTTCTTTTTCTTTTCCTGGAATATAATCAGACATCTTGTGTTGCATGTAAACAGGTGAAGATAAATATGTGGTTTTCATATCCGGTTTGAGTGTTGGGAGAAGCACTTCGAATCCTCTCCAATTTCAACTTTTTGTTGATCACATCACTGGACATTTAGGAGACGTGAAGGTTCAATAATATTATGCTTAACTTTCTGCTTACAAGTATTTGACACATGACAATATGGCTAATGTTATGCTATCCTGAAATGTATCACTTGAAAAGGAACAAAATATTGCAGCTCAAATAGTTCAAGTTGTTATTGCTGGAAACTCTGTTGAAGTACCTCATGGACTTCTCAATGGACAGGTACTAATCTTTACTTTTGTCCTTAAAGCAAACTTGTGTTTCCGTCTTTTCTCGATCCAGTAGCTTTTCCCTTGTGTACGTCAAATTAATGCTACTTCTCATCACAGAGGAGAATTTTTTCGAGTCGCATGCTAGAATTACTTACACTTCTCTGTCTTTAAACTTGTCGATAGAAATTGGATGAACATTTTGCTGCTTCAGATGTAGATTAAACTCCAAGAAACATGTTTAAGAAATTGTTTGTTTTAATGCGTCAAATGCTTTGTGATAATAAGTGCTCAATTAAGAAGTATTACTTTTGCCTTTTTTTTATTTTAAAAAAAGAAGTCCATTAACAACACAACAGTACATGTCCAACTAGTTGGTGTTGAGACTTCTTGTTGTTGCACTTGCATTAGATCTGATTTCTGCCAGTCTTTTTGTTTTAGTTAGAGACCTTTATATCAGTGTAGGGATAGGTGAGATTTAGAGAGCCTCTTGTTTAGAGAATCCTAATTTTTACTTAAAAAGACAAATTATTTAGTTCTGAAATGAATTGAGCCTATATGGACCCAAAAATGGTTCCAGAGGATTCCATAGTCGATCACAATTAATTTGGGATTGAGGCTTTGTTGAATGATTGACTTATTTGTATCCTTGATCCAAATATCAATTTATTGGAAACACTGATCTACAAGTTTTCTGTTAGCAAATGAGATCTTTATTGCCAAGTCTTTGACATGTTGAATTGCTGTGATTTCTGTGCCTTTGATGTTATGTTAGTTGTTAGAAGCCATCTTGCTGACTTTATATTTTATAGTGTTGTCTTGATTGAATGATATCTTTGCAATATGGTGAGACATATGTTGCATGTGCTACAAGTGACTACTGATTACTTTTTTTTGTTGATCTATACCTTTATTCTTGCAATTCATAGTGTAATTTGGAAGTAATGGTCTGATACTAGTTTATCTTATTTTGCTCTGAGAATGATATTTAAATTACGGAAGTTTTATGTTTGATAATAAATTTTATTGTGGCTCTGAATGTTGTTTAAATTGCAGAAAATTTTCTTTTGGACAAAGTAATAACTTTTATCAAGTAGATGAGAAATCTCTGTAGAAGATAAGCATGGTTCTTTACAAAATAGCGATTAATCATCAATTCTGACTAGATTTCACAGCTGCTCCAGTAGTATACAGAAAACAAAAGAAAAATCCTCAAATTTGTACAAAATACTCATCCACATGCCTCAAATGCCCCCATGTTCCACTCCTTACATATGTCCACATAAGCGCTAAAAAGTGACATACCATATCTACTTCTCCACCTCTTTCTAAATTCCAACATATCCTTGATTGAGCCTGGCATCACCCAATTAATCCCTAAGATATTCTTTAAAACTCAACATAACCAATGGGTAGTGGAATAATAAATGTTTAATGCCATCTCCGGTAGGCTTGCATGTAATAATCAACGAGTGTAGATTTCCTACTTTTCCTCAGATTCCTAACCATGTGAAATGCTTCCCATATGCCATTAATATGAAGAAACACACCTTTCGGAGCACTGGGAGTTGTTACTGATTTTTTTTATGACTTACTGGGGACCGTTACTGATGAATAAGGGAACTCATTTCCTCCTTCACAACAGTCTACTGTAAAATGATCCAAGTAGACAATCATTTCTTAGGTACCCCCCACTCCCAAGTTCTTCATCCATTAGTGTGATCTTCTATTTATGCAATAGCCCGAGAAGATTGTTTTTTTGGACCTCTGTCTGGCAGGTTTCTCCTAACAGACACCTGAACTGTAGATTCAATAGAACTCAGAACTCCCATTCTTCTTCCTTTGCTGATAAGAAATTCTAAGAGACCCAAAACCATTACACAAAGGTATGTGGTGGCACCATCTCTAATTCAAAAAACTGACTCAGACTAATTTGTATATGGCTATAAAACTTCTCCCACGCTTTCATAATGCTTTTTGAAAGAGCTACCTTTTATGGCAGGGTAAACTGTACTCCTATCTTCTCTTTGAGTGCTATATTTTTCTGTGATAACTCTTCTCCATAATGCTTGCTCCTCCACTTCGAACCTCCAAGTCGATTTACCTAGTAATGCCCTGTTGAACACCCTCAGTCCTTGAATATAAATTCCGCTTTCTTTTCTAATGATTAAAAATAGATGTAAGACTTTAATTCAGCTATTCAGACACATTATTATCTAGCTCATGATATTATATGGTGAAGGAGAATATTATAGTGACTTAAAAAGTTAGAAATGCTCCAATAATATTTAGTCATATAGAATACACAATAATGTCTCGTTTCTATCATTGTTATTAACTTAGCAGCTTTTGGATGTTGAATTTTGTTGAACTTTTGACAGTAGTGTAAAACTAGTTGGGCCCGAGGGCCTAGCTCAAGTGGCAAAGGGTGGTGGATTTGTGTCTTAGGTCACAGGTTCAACCCCCCACACCATGCAAACCAAAGCCTGGTATTTAAGTGGAGAAGGGTAGAGGGGCAGGTCCATTATCCACCGAGTTTCGAAGGCTGTGGTTAGTCCAAAGGATCCGCTCCAGACGGATTTCTCGGTCATAAAAAAAAAAAATGTAAAACTAGTTGGTTACTCGAAATAGTCAAGATACTTGTATTTAGTTTGTACAGGCTCATTTCAGTGGACTCATGTCTTCGGTTAATTAAGTTTTTGCTCCGTTCTTTCCCTAAAAAATGATACAACAACAACAACAACCCAGTATAATCCCACTAGTGGGGTCTGGGGAGGGTAGTGTGTACGCATACCTTACCCCTACCCTGGGGTAGAGATGCCGTTTCCAATAGACCTCCGGCATCCTTCCCTCCAAGAACTCCCCACCTTGCTCTTGGGGTGACTCGAACTCACAACCTCTTGGTTGGAAGTGGAGGGTGCTTACCATCGGAGCAACTCCCTAAAAAATGATAATAAAATTTAATTCTTTTTCCAAGTGCTGCAAACACTTTCATTTGATTTTACTCGGAACTGGGAAGGACTAGTTTCAATCTCCATTAATGACGACTAACAACAGAACTTGATTGTGTTGCAGAATCTGGGTTCAAAGGACCAGTCTAGATTGTTTGAGCCGATTAAAGAGCTTGATATTTTGTTGACGCAGGTCCTCTAATCCTAAATTGAAACCAACATATTTCTGTAAACCGTACACTATGAGTTCAGAATTTGATTTCCTCCTTTTCCAGATTGCCGCAAGTATACCTTTGGATATCATGCCAGGGTCCAGTGATCCAGCAAATTTCGCCTTGCCACAGCAGGTCCCCCCTTGGTTTTAGCATATGTTTGAATGCTACGAGTCAGAGCATTGTTTTAGATTTTAGAGGTTTAATTGTTTCTGTGATCATCTGTGAATTTCAGCCTCTCCATAGATGCCTGTTCCCTGGATCATCAGCTTATAACACTTTCAGATCTTGCACGAATCCACATTGCTTTGAACTTGACAACATCAGGTAAGATTCAATAGTAGATGTAGTTATTTTATAGAAATTTGTTTCGTTGTTCACATGGTTATTGCATGATCTTCAGGTTCCTGGGTACATCTGGTCAAAATATTGATGACCTTGGCAAGTATTCTGAGGCAAACAGCAGTATTGAATTTATGGAAAGGACATTGAGGTGGAGACATCTAGCACCAACAGCACCAAACACCCTTGGTCAAAACTTTGTGCCTTGCTACGCTTGCAAGTTCTTATGATTGTCGTTTCCATGCCTAAAATTTTCTACTCTGCTCAGTTTATTCTTTGGATTTCACAAATTCATGCTTTGTTTTTTGAAATAGTAAAGGTCTTATTAAAATAGTACCAAGATGGTACAAAAGTGCATGACATCAGAAAGCCAAACCAGATACTCTTACTTCAAGTATGCTCATGCTTTTAGATCGCAAATCGTTTTGATGAGACAAACTATATGATCTTGGAAAAGAAAGAGTTGAGATAATTACCTTTTCTGTTCTTTGAAGAGTTTGCAAAACAATTTGGTTGCATATATTTCTTCCAGCTATGTTATTCATACAATTACTTTTGCAGGGTGCTATCCTTTCACTGATAAGGATCCTTTCTATGTTGAAACTTGTCCTCACGTTTATTTTGTGGGCAATCAAGATAAATTTGAAACCCGCTTGATAAAAGGTATGTTACTGAATTTTTGAATTGTTATTCTAGAGAATGTATGTGATCATTACTACTGTGTGTAGGATCAGAAGGGCAGATGGTAAGGCTTATTTGCATTCCCCGATTTGCAGATACTGGAGTGGCAGTGGTGGTAAGCCTCCACTCTTTTTATCAGCTATCTCCTCTGCATGTTTTCAAAATTAGCATAAGCTTATCAGTTATATAGCCTCTTCACTGTTCTTGCAATGAAGGAAACTACAGAAACATTCTGCTTTGAAACAAAAGTTAACTGTGTCTGCATAGTGGATCTGTGTCTCTATGAAACATGTATTGGATGCTTAATACATCCTTGTTTGCCCATGTACTTTCTCTGAAGGCGGAGTCATGGAGAATTTTGGTGCTAATTGATATACACTTGCTAATTTATTTTTTCCAAGAAGAGTTCTTAATGGATATTTATCATTTTAAGCTAATATAACCATTAACTAGTTGTCTGAGTTTTTTTTAAAGAGTTAATTTGACGGTCAATGTAGAATAAGCTCAAGTTTCATGCTCTTTTTTCAAATAAAGTTACATATAGTTATATTGGATGACCATATGATGTGTTCGTCTGAACACTTAGAAATGGATATGCCGAAGTTTTCTTTTGTTACCATGGTCTTACCCTTCCTTATAGTCTGTTCTTTGACTACTTGTCCTGTTGATGAAAATGCAAGAGGCAATTTGAAATCGATGGTCCTTTAAGCTTTTCATGAGACAGGACAGAATATGGTAGGGTCACCAACAGAAGCACATACCTGTTATGATTTATTACAAAAACTAAGCCTCAGCCCCTGATAAATTGGGGTCGGCTATATGAATCCTGGCTGATCATCTTCCCCATTTAGCTTCATCTCACGCCAGCATTAAACAATACAAAAAAGGGGAAAGTGCTAGAGGTTCTCTATATTTCCTACTGGCTTAAGAATCTCTAATACAACTCCATTATGATTTATTAATTTTTTCATTTATGTTTTTTTTTAAGAACTTCTTGGGGTGGATATAGGCCCGAGAATCTTCGATGGGATTGAAACCTGCACCTAAATGATGCTGGGTGGAGTGCCAACTCATAGGCTGCATCTTTAATCCCTGATATATTAAGTTTGACTTGATGAATACATCTAGAGAATACTTTTGGGCTGTGTAATCATTATATAGCATATTTGATATTCTCTTTTAAGCTCATTCTCCTTCCCTCTGTCAAATGGGAACAGTCCTGATTGTGTCGGGGAATTGATTGGGGATGCTTTCTCGTGTTTTCAGATGAATTCCTACTGTTTTGTGTACTTGTGGTGTAAATTAAAATAAGCAAAAGTTTGATGTGGATCACTTTTGAGATTGTCTTCATTTTGTCTCTTTCTGGATAATGCTTGGCCTTGTCACCGTGAAGAACTCCGACTAAAACATGATCATAAGAGTCTTCTAAAGTAATAAGAGTTCTTTTTTTTTTACCTTTTCAATTTTTCGAATGATCGTGTTAGGTGTGGTCACAAGATTTTTTCTTACGACATTTCTTTGTACAATAATGCAAGCTTAATTTTTGTTTTCATTTTTATTTTATTTTATTGAATATGTATGATACGAGCTTATCTTTTCTGTTACTGCAGTTGAATATAAGAAACCTTGAGTGCCATACGCTCAGCTTTGCTACTCAAATCCACTCATAAGGGGAAGGTATGATGTAATGGCCAGGTGGATATATAATCCTGCTAAAAGTTTCCAGTGACGTGTTTCTATTTCTCGAACTACTGTTAAACAAACCCCCCTGCTGCTCTTGCATGCTTTCTTCTCCTTCATTCATCTGACAAAGACCTTCATGTCATCCATGTTATGGAAATTGCAAATACAGAGTGCTGTTTCTCAGGGTACTCGAAAACTCATGTAGACAATTTGTGCAAGTTAGCACCTCGGAAAATGCTTGCTGCTAGACCAGTGATGACATGTGGAAAAGAAGAGTGAAAAATGAAAAGAATAAATATATAAACGTAATCGTAAGAGAAAGAAGGGGAAGAGGATGCAAGAAGAACAGAAGAAATGAAAAAAAGAGAGAGTAAATGGACACATGGATGAGGGTGAGAGTGAGAACAATGTGTCAAGTGACTAAGAAAGTAGGATTGGTTAATATTTGCTTGTTTGTTCAGTTAGCTTATGTTTGAATGGCATCTCAAATTAAGCTTAAAGGGCGCGACCCAAAAAAAAAAAGAAAAAAGGAAGAAACGATCTTCTTCCCTTACTGTGTATCTGAGAGAAGGATATTCAACTGATTTAAAATTCTGCCTTCATTGCCATGGCAACCTTTGGAAGCTTCATTTTATATGATGGGCAGAAGTAAAATCTATTTCTTGATTTTTGATTTTTTTTTCCAGGGTATTGATCAGCCATTTATGCAGAAGATGTACTGATGTCAGGCAGAAGTTTGCTGTGCAAAAGACATCCATTAGACTCAGATTTATTGAACGGTTGTCCTGTATCTTTAGAAGTTTAACTTTAGAAATTTCTGTAATTTTTCAAAGAATTTGTGTTTCAGTTTGCAGGACAACCCTTTACCCTGTTTGATTTGCAAGATGTGGGAGAAAATAATATTTCTGTCACAAAATCATAGTCCGTTTGTCCTAGTTAGTAGTTCAAGCTTCGTACCAAAATCAGGATTGATATTGTCATTACTTACTAGCATCAAGATTGCTAGTATAATCAAATTTAATGTCAATTACAATCTCATCCAGACAAAATCCTTTAGACTTGTAATCCAAGAATTTGTTTAGAAATATCATAATGAAGGGGGCATTGTCGCTAATGAATGTGTTCCATTGGTTTCAATTCTTTATTCGGAGCAGTGAGCCCAACGCGTGCAAGAGTATGTCACAACTAATGATCAAGAAAAAACGCATACTAGTAGGTACTTATCTACACTAGAATTTATCTGCCACTACTTTCTAGCATCAAGAACTAGTAAAGTGAATAAATAGCAGATGTATATACTTTGTTTTCATGTCCATCCATCAACCTTGACCAGGCTACTTCTTAACCATCTTTTCCTTTTATTCTTGTTTTTTCTCAATAAGTCTTCCTAGTATTCTCTATTCAATACGAAATATACAACGGAAAAGGGCCTAAAATGCCCCTTTACTATATGAAATAGGACAGGCTAGCCCTCCATTAAAAGTTGGTCTCTATTCTGCCCTTGCCGTCAACAAATGGGCTCGTATATGCCCTCCATCACTAACGGAAGACTCATAAAGCCACGTGGAATATATGTGAGGGCAAGTTAGACCTAGTTCGAATTGTACAGGGGCATATATGAGTCAGTTATAATAGTAATTTCTCAAACACTTCACAACTCCATATCAGTTTACTTAGACACCTATTTGGCAACACCAAACTAATTATCACAACAAATAAACTAAGTCATAGACACAAACATTCAAATGAACGACAATGACTTCATTAAATCCTAGTAGCTCAAAAGGGTCGAATCATAACAAAAGACAATGTCGGAATGTTCTAGTAGCTCAAATGGGTCGAATAGGAGGCGTCATTACGGACTTACTGCCAATTATTTCATGGCATGGACACCTTTAAATGCTAGGAGAAGGTTTTTCAAGTGCCCGAAGCATGAGGTAAGTAAATATTTTGATGGGTTCTTTTAATTATTCCGATTTACTTGTAAATTTGTTTTATTTATTTTTAGTTTTTAGGATGAAAAATATTCCTATTGGGAATGTCAAGATGAAGAGCTTCCTCCTAGAATTTCAAATCTCATATGCAGTTTAAAGAAGGAAAAGGAAGCTCTAATCTGTGAAAGAAATGCTCTCCAAATGAAATTTTGATCTTGAGAATGTTATGATGCTCGTCGATCATGGAGGAATAAAATCTTGGAATTGAAAAGAAATGTTCTAATGAAGAAAGTGACCGATTTAGAGTACTCATTTGTGCTTGATGCTAAATTTCGGAAGAAGATGTAAATTTTCATGTGTGTGATATTGGGATGTCTTGTTATGTTCTTTGGCTTAGTGCGAAATGATATGTAATGTTAGTGTTATTGTGACTTAATTATTGTCTTTTATTATGTAATGAAGCTTAATGTTTTTATAGTACAAAGATTTAATAAAGTCATTACCGTTCATTTGTTGTGCCTATGACTGAGTTTATTTGCTATGATAATTAGTTAGGTGTTGTAAACTAGGTGTCTAAGTAAACTGATATGAAGTTATGAAGTATTTGAGAAATGACTATTATAACTGACTCATATATGCCCCTGTACAATTCGAACTAGGTCTAACTTGCCCTCACATATATTCCACGTGGCTTTATGAGTCTTCCGCTAGTGATGGAGGGCATATACGAGCTCATTTGTTGACGGCAAGGACAAAATAAAGACCAACTTTTAACGGAGGGCTAGCCTGTCCAATTTCATATAGTAAAAAGGGCATTTTAGGCCCTTTTCCGAATATACAATTTAGTTAGATGGCGTTCGGTGCCAAAAGGTTCGTGATCTTTAACCAACGTACAAATGGCCTTCTTTGCAAACAAGTTGATACAAAAAATTAAAGTACTACTCTTCTCGAGCAGAGTTTCCTTTTTCGAATTAAGGTAATATGATCTGATTATAATGATTTAAATATATATAGAGTTTTATTGTTTTCAACTGGGAAAATCTTGCAACATAAATATTACTTTTATTGTAATTTGTGCGTATCTAACAAATGCAGTAGCTATTGCAGCTCAGTAGTCAAAATTCAGGTATTGTAATTGTTGCTAGTGGAGTTTTTGGATCGGAACCTGCTATTTCAAGTGATGTTCTTTCCAAGTGGATAACACTATTGTTGCTCAGATCCAATTAAAGTTCTACAGTGCTTCAGATGTGTTATTATTAATTTAATTTGTGATACTCAGCTATTGCTTTGGTGTTATTAATTGATTGTGTGTGTGTGCGTGTATTCAATGGCTTGATTCAGAAGCAAAGCATGGATTTGTAATTTTAGTTTTTCAAGCAAGAATATTCTAAGTCGTACAATTGCTTCTACTTTATATTAGCCAGCATTTCTTGTAGTCTTTATTGTTTGCTCTTATTAAAAGTAGTTGTTGCCTTATTGGCATCCTAAGTAATCTTGTGTCAAACTCTTTGTGCTAAGATATTGTCCTTTTGAATGTAAACACTATTGTTGTTGTTGCTATCTATCAATATAATATAAATAGTTGTGATATGTAACTTACCATTTATTCAAGAACGTTATCAATCAATGTTGTCATTAAATAGAATTATATGCTATTATTGTTTAAGTGACCTGGTTATATAAATATATTTTATACCACCACTATAAAGATCCTAAACTCTTATCTAAAAACTCTTAGGTAGTCTTATTCTATTACTTAGGAAGACTATGAATGTGAGCGTGATCTTAGTTTAAGATTATTACCTTAGAATTTTAGCTTAAGATTACCTCTAAAATTGTTAAGCTACTCTAAAAATTTCTCAGAGAGAATGCTAAGCTGTTCTGAGCAAGATATGTGTCTTAAAGCATTTCATCGATTTATCTTTTTTAGAAGCGGTGAAAGTTATAAAAGAAACAAAAAATATGATTATGTCGTGTAAAATCGAGCGCATACATAACTTGATTGGATATATGAGCAGTTGTAACTTGTATATGCATTAATTAATTAATTAGGGGCAGAACAAAAGTTATTTGGGAAAATTTGACTGAAGTAAAGACTCATTACACAAAAGTCATTTTTTTTTTCTTAAACATAAAAGTCATCTAATTAAGGCCCAGATAAATAAAATATAAAGTATTGTAACGATTCGGCCGATCGTTTTGAGCTTTTGCACTTCGCTCGGTAGTTTGAGGGCATGAGTAGCTCCGCACGATGTATTATGACTTGTGTGAATCATCAGTTTTGGTTTTCAAGTTATTCAGAATTGATTTGAATGAATGAATTTCATGATTGAAGCTTTAAAGTTGGAAGAGTTGACCAAGTTTGACTTTTAATATTTGACCTTGGATTGGAATTCTGATGGTTCCGTTAGGTCCGGATGATGATTTTGGACTCGGGCGTATGCCCGAATTTGCGCTTGGATATTTCTAGAAGGTTTTGGCACTAATTGGCGAAAGTTGGAAAATTCGAAGGTTTGGAAAGTTCATAAGTGTGACCGAGAGTTGACTTTGAGGATATCGGATTCGGATTGTAGTTCCGGGAATTGGAATAGCTTCGTTATGTCATGTGGGACTTGTGTGCAAAATTTGAGTCCATTCCAGATTGCTTTGATATGTTTCAGCGTGAGTTTTGGAAGTTGAAAGTTCAAAAGTTCATTAAGTTCTATTTGGGATGCGATTCGTCGTTTCGATGTTGTTATGCATGATTTGAGGCTTCGAATAGGTCTGTGTTATATTATGGGACTTATTGGTATATTTGGACGGGGTCCCGAGAGCTCGGATGAGTTTCAGACAAGGTTCAGATCATTTTGCCATATGTTGCATTGCTGAAAGAGTGCTTGTTCTGGTGTTTCCGCATCTGCGTAAGAATGGGCGCAGATACGAGTTCGCGGATGCGGACAATGGTTGCAGAAGTGAAAACAAGCTTGGCTGGGGGATCATCGCAGATGCGGAGGAAGAGGCACACCTGTGTGTGCAGAAGCGAGGTCGTGTGCAGGAGCGAAGAAGAGCTCGCACCTGCGATGTTATAGAAGCGGAAATCGTTCCACAGGTGCAATGAGTCGGCTGGTTAGTTATGGTCGCATAAGCGACGCTGCAAAAGCAGCTATTTTCTTCGCAGATGTGAACAGTGCTGGGCAGAAGCTATACTTTCAAGGGTTGGTCGTTTTCTTCTCATTTTTGAGATTTGGAGCTCGGTTTGGGTGATTTGGAAGAGGAATTTCACCACACGAATTGGGGTAAGCATTCTTAACTCGGTTTTGATTATATTTCATGAATCTATCCTCATTTTTGGCATTTGATTGATGATTTCGATAGGGAAATTAGGGGGTTATTGTCTAAAGTTTCATAGAGTGAATTTTCGAGATTTGAACATCGATTCGGAGCCAGATTTAAGTGAAACTAGTATGGTTGGACTCGTAATTGAATGGATTGTCAGATTTTATGAGTTTTGTCGGGTTCTTAGGTGCGGGCCCGGGTTTGGCTTTTGAGATTTTGCACTTTTGATTAAAGATTCGACCTATATTAGGTTTGTTTTCTTTGGCATTATTTGACATATTTGAGTTGCTTTTGGCTAGTTTTGAGTCGTTTGGAAGTCAGTACGCGCAGGATGGCATTTTTGGAGTATCGTTTGGCTTGCTCGGTATTGGATTTGCTGATTCAAAGTAAGTAACACTTCTAAATTTGGTGCTGAGGGTATGAACCCATGAATATACGTAATATGTGTTTGGTGTTGAGGTGACGGGCGTATGGGCGTACACCGTGTAAATTGTGACTCGGTTGTTTCTGAAGTACTGTGTAGTTACATAATCTTATTTGTATCTATGAGATCTCTACGTGCTGGAATAATTGAGCTGCAAGTCATGTTAGGAATAATGCTTCCGCTATATGTTGGTATTGTTGGGATCCACAGAGGTCGCACTACATGTTGAAGTATTTGCTTAATTTGAAATCATGCACTCAGTCACAGTTATTATTTGCATATCTTATCTCAGTCTCTGTTGCTATTTAGTAATACATCATATCATCTTTGTTTGGGCTGTTTATCATAATTCTCATGAGCCCGGGAGACTGGAGAGATTGATGACTGAGCGATGCTGAGGGCCTGATTGTGAGGATATTTATGATATTGGGCTACACGCTG